CTGCTTTACTTTTTTTATTCCGCGTACAATGGAATTTACTCAACAATATAATCACCATTGTTACTCACTACAGAGTCCCACCTAATGGGCAGGTCAGCGACCCCTTCTCCCAGAACTGAGCAGACTGAGAGTCAAAGAAATCGCTGACCGCTCTTTCAACGTCTTCAACTTTGGTGAATTTTTCTTCGCTAGGAATGCCTTAAAGGCACGAGTCGGGATTGAATTGATGCGTTATTTTGTTCAAACATTAGGCAAGGGGTGCAATGAGGAACATTAGTGAGGAGAAAAAGCAAAAAGCACCATAGAAAACACTAAATTTCCCTTAGGAGGCCGGCCGTAGTACGACGGAGACACAGCGCTGCGAGGAGAGGGAGAACGCGAGATAGTACGTCGTACGCGAGAGGACGCAGAGACCACGTATGCCGTGGTGGATTACGCTGGCAGCGCGGGCAGCGCGGCGGGCAAGGCCTTAGCGCCATTGCCGCGCACTTTTGGGTCGCGATAGTGTCGCGCCCTCAGTGCTTGGGGAGCCCACTATCGCACCCTGGGAAGAACTTCTGCTGGTTGCCTAATCCTGACTCGTGGCTTTAAGGGGATGAAGTAAGTGATAATCAGAGAGGGCAATGTCAGGGGAATAGGATGGGTGGGGAACCGCGTCCCAGATCAGCTCTTCCAATTTTGCACGGGTCTCTTTAGCTATGTGGGGCCTGGCGTCATCGTGGAGTAGGTGGACAGAAGTTCGTCTCGGTCGTTTTTCTCGAACAGCGTCCGCTAGTTTCTGGAGCTGACTGGCGTAAATGCTGCCGGTAGCGGTATGCCCTTGCGGGAGCAGCTCATAATACAACATTCCTCACGAATCCCAGAGGCAGCAAAGAAGACAGCTTTTGGGGTGAAGGTCCGATTTTGCTTGTGTCGGCGGGTCTTCTCCTCGAGGGAGCCACACGGCACTGTGCTTGTTAGAATCGTAGAGGACCCAACTCTCGTAATCATGCCTTCCAAAACTCCTTTCGGTGCGGACAAGAAGGAGAAACTGACAAATGGGTACCCGCCTGAACCGCGTGCTATCGGTCAAGACATGAGGGATCCATCGAGTCGGCACTTTCCTGTGGCGAGGGCGTGGAGGGGACCGAGGACTGTGGGATGGGTGCACCCGAGTCTTATCACAAGGCTGCGGGTGCTAATCTCCAGAGAAAACGACAGTGCCGCTTTTCCTTCATGGGAATATGGTAGGGATTTCTTTTACTGCCAGTCTTCTTGTCGAACCTGAACCGGTTCCGAGCATCTTGTCAGATATGCTTCGTTTAAGGGAGTTCTGAATCTTTGGCAGTCACACGACACAAACACAGGCCAGCCTAGGATCAACCGTCACTTGTTGACCCTTTTTTAGGAGAGTCTCGACCCTGAAGAAACTCCCCACCAACCAGCACGACTTGAGACCTCCTGCCCATTAGCAACACCTTCTCCTCGCTATCCCTACCCCCTAACATAGGCCTGTTGGTCTATACAGCGTGTTAAATTCTGAGACCGGGGAGAAAAGCCGCAAAATAGCCAGCCCAATTCCGCGCACCTTTCTCTCCTGAATTCCTGACTAGAACCCTTCCGATCGGGGAAGAGCTTGAGGGAAGAGAGGTAAATGTAAAGTTGGATAAGCCGTGGAGGAAGGGGGGACAAACCCTTCCAATTTTAAATTTGTCTGCCTTACCATACTTTCATGAAAAATCGGGCAAACTCGTCCAAAAATTTGTAAAAGAAATACACCCACCCTCGTGCGCTGCCAAGGAGTGCTTAATCTTACTCAACCACGAAGTGCGACCCCGCTCTCCGTTCCGCTAAAATAGTCAAAACAAACCCTTCGTGTATGGCATATGTTTGGTATACGACATCCAGTTGCCTGCATGCAAGGTAGTTTTATGGGCCAGCGAGCGATCGCCTTCGGTCCGCTACCGATGCCGTGCATGTATACGCGGCACACTACTCATACTGCTCCTGAATTTTTAGATACATCGTAACGCGTTGCGTTTATCGGTCACTTTGTGGCGTCGACAAAACGCGTCAACATTATACCATACTGCACTCCCTCGAAAGCGGGTAAACACTGAGGAGAATATTTGCTTGGGTCTCGATGAACGTGGTGAACCCGTAGCACACGCTACTTTCCTCATTAGCAACTTCTTATGTGGGTGCGACCAATTGGTAGAACGGTAAGGAATTGAGGCGAACGTTTCAATGTTGGGTCGTGTTTGAAGCAGGTAGGAAAGCAGGGGATGTAGAATTCAAAATCTCCTAACAGAGAGCTGGGTCTTTTAGAGCAAAACATGCATTTTCGAAACGGTTTCTTGCAGCTTGCAGTGACGCATGTGTGGATCAGAATCGGGCTTCGTTTTCGCTAAGTGGTGCTAGTATTTGGGGTGGTAGGGATGTCCTGACCCGATTTTTCGAAAACTCCAGAACTTTTGCTTTATTCGCTCGTCCACATTACGGAGATCTGCTACGTGGTAGATTAGTCGCTGTCATCATATCTTCTTCGCCAGTAGGTATAATGATTGCCGCTGTTGGCCTTCTTTAAACTTTATTCAGGAACCGAAAATCGATTCCAGCAAACGAGCACTTCCGAGCGTATTATCTTCACAACGACTGCTCTATGCGGAGCACAGGACCATCGTTAAACTCGATCAACATTATCAGTATCGCATTGGGAAGGGACACCACTTCCATCATCAGTGCCAAGCTCTGGTTCGCAGGCTTCGAAGGAGGAGACACGGCTTCCGAAAACAAGACAAGGTTGGGAAGCCCCCAAACAGTGGAAGACTCCACCGTTCTCGGCGCTGTCGAAGAGGATCCGGAGTTAGCACCCGCAGCCTTGTGATAAGACTCGGGTGCACCCATCCCACAGTCCTCGGTCCCCTCCACGCCCTCGCCACAGGAAAGTGCCGACTCGATGGATCCCTCATGTCTTGACCGATAGCACGCGGTTCAGGCGGGTACCCATTTGTCAGTTTCTCCTTCTTTGTCCGCACCCGAGATTTCCTGCAAACTAATTACAGCATTTAGAGATGGTGTCAATTCAAAGCTGCTATGCAATAACCCATAACTATGGTGTTCAATTCAAAGCTGCTATGCAATAACCCATAACTATCTTTTCAGTTTCGGAAGTCTGATATCACTGGTTGGCTGCGCATGTAATCTCCTGTTATTATTCCTTTTCCTGTCGAGGAGTCTTAGTAATCCCTTCCATACATTTCTTGCTTTCCTCGATTTTATGCTTTGCTTCTTATTTATTGCCTGTTTTGGAGCCCTCACTCTATCAGTCACTTTCAGGATAGGTGAGCAGAATTCAGCAGTGTTCATTCAGCTGTTGTACTTTCTAATGTATTTATTTTAAGAATGGTTGTATACACTGGTAAAGAACAACAACGTTCTTATGCTTATTGCAAGTCGGATTGTTCAACTTTGTATCCCATATACTCTTATCGCCAACACCGCCTTCCGATTGGCATCAATTACTCAACGATCACGACCACACAAACGGTAAGAGATCGGTACGAATCGCGATAGCGATGTCGATATAGCAAAGCGATTGTTTGAATTGAGTTTTGACTGCAGCAGTAGTCTGGATGCCTCATATTACCTCATCTTTCGATCTAGAACTTGAACATTTCATGAGGTTGCACAAAAGACTTCCTGCCTCGCTACTTCTAAAATGACTTTCAGAAGTTTCAAAGTGAACAAGATTATGATGTAGAGAACCATTCGGAGGCCTGGAGCATTAGGAAACCTTTACACACGGGCCGAATTAGGGAAGCATCCACTGCTAGTAGGAGGGCGGTTTCGGAAGAGTTTTCGACGCATTACGCCAAGGTAAAGCTTCCACTCGTAAAGTCGACAACAAGTTCAAAATTGGTGCAAGCCAAAGTTTTCGGGCATAATCAAAATTCAACGACTCGCTTACTCGTGCTGTATTCTTGCTTCTTATAACGCGCTCTAATGATTTGCGATTTCGAGTGCTGAGATCAGATGCAACGAAAGCCGCTCAGGATCTCAAAATTTCACCAAACTGCTTTTGACGGGTTCAAGATTACGTTGATAAGATCTACTCGCGTGTCATCTAAGCGAGACGAGGCATCCCAATAAAACTTGGAGAATTGAAGTTCGAAGAATGAAATTTCTTCTTACTGAGCAACGAATAAGGCTTCACAGTCAGAATTCAAACTGACCAACTATTCAGATTCGAAGTTCTTTTTTTAAGTTTCTGTAATTTTCATCCTTCTGAGATCACGTAATTTCCACCCACCCTGCATGTATGTAGGTCTGTCGGTGTACTTGTTTGTCCGTTCCCGAAATGACGACAGCCAATGTAATAAACCCCTTAGGCAGCTGAGGAGCTCGCAGGTGTTTTGATATCAAGGTTTGCAATGGCATGAACATTATTACACCCCCAACGGCTATGTAAACGCCCACTGAGCACAGTTCCGTCCATTATTCGTGGTGCTGCAGGGAAAACTAGAGGTCAGGAGGATTCAGGGAATGCTCCGTTAGTAAAACTAAAGGCAAAATCAGCGTTGTGGTACCTTTTTAACGTGAATCGCGATTTCGGTAATGCACTTCACTACTTCAACACCAGAAACCCTTTTTGTGCATGCAGATCTCCTTCACATCGACCACATATACAGGTGGGCGCAGCGGAAGGCGTCAGGCATTCGCGGGTAAAGGTGATCCCGTCGGATGCCGAAGAACACAACAATGGAGAACTTCTAGCAAACGATCGCGGGGCGGGAAACATAGCTGAAGAATTAAAAAGCTTGATCTGCGAGTGTCGAAGCTAGGGGAGAGCGACTTATGCAGAATACTCCGAAGATGCCAAGTTTCATGTTTAGAGTTTGCTCGCCTGTTCGACTATAGAATGGCGATAGGGTAGGGAAAGTGGGAGGTCGCATCCTGAGCGAAAATCACACTTGACCCAGCCCGACATGCCTCTATCGTGCCTCCTGCCCTTTCATTATTAATGTTCATGTTTGATATTGTGCGCTTCTTCTGTGCCGTACAGGTTTTTATGGTGGAACCGTTTATTGGTCAACGTTTCGACAAACCGTCGTCTTCAGGACCTGAAACTGGTTCGAAGTTCTAGCTCTGTAACTCACCCGGTGAAGCGCCTAATCTTGTTCAGTTCCCCGGAACTCAAAACAAAACAAAATAGAACGATCCCAGTGAACGAACCAACCTGTGATCCACCAGTCTCCCAGCAGCCTCCTCTCGTTAGTGAGCCAAGATAAAATGAGACACCATGGACAATGAGTGTCCTACGTGTCGTATGTGGTGATCTCACAATCCACATAAAGGAATGAAAGGCAAGAATTCATTTGTAATGGCCATGCATTCATTTCGGTTGTTCAGCTTTGGATTTTTCACGCGGATATAAAACGCCTCTAACATTTTTCTAGCACCGATGTCGTTTTCGTAGGCTAGAATTTTGCATTTGATTTCAAAATCATTGCCCTGATGTCCTTCTACTCGGTGCTTGCCAAGTGGAGTAAGCAGATTTCCGCGCCTTTTTCCTGCTATATGTTCTTTAACGCCCCATCCTGTCCGTCTCACCAACACAAACTTCGACATGTTCAGGTCTGAATCACAAATGAATTTCAGAAGTCGAAATTTGCAAATAACTGTGGTGGTGATTGCTTCCACAGCAGTGTTTTTGCGGCTGCCGGGTTATTTCTTTATTGAAGTGGTTGATCTTCCCTACTGTGATTTTTTCGAAAGTCGCGTTTTATCGGGAAAGGTTGTGGATCCATTAGTGGCGAAGATGTACACTATAAGTGACGTTCTTATACAGGTAAGGCGACTCAAGACATTTACTTACATATTATGGCTCCATAAAAAACGATATCACGTTCCAGTTCCTTCACCTGTTCGTCTCGTTTATAATTCTTTGTGTGCTGAATTGTGTTGTAATACAAAAGCTGAGAAATTCACATGAACGTGCAAGACGGCAGTCGTTGTGTCCAACGATTACCTACCCGGTCAGCCACATTCTTTTTGTATTCTTTCGCAGATGCGCTGAGGCTGCTTATACTCAGTCTTTCAGAAAAAGAGTATGGGAAAACCCCATTAAACTTATTGATCTTATTGATCAGGGAGTTAAGAGAAACCATTGACCCTCTGACGACAGCGAGTAAGGCCGATGTCAGACTTTGCAAGTCGAACGACTTGCTACTAGCGATTCGCTAGCGTCCGCGGTCGCGTTGCGGTACCAGCCAATCGAGCGATTCGCTGGCCGCGACGCGACCGCGAAGCGAATTGCTCCGCCCCAGAAGCGATCCGCCCACTGCCTCCCTTGGTGATTTAGACGACCTGCGCCTACAGCAACGGCACAGCGGATCATCTCGATTAATGCGCAGTTTGACATGGTGCGTTGCGGTGAACTCGTTCATTCGTCCACTTTCTGAATTACCGTTTTACATTTTCTTGACGGATTCCTCTACTTTTTTCGCCACTGGCGTACCAATGAGCACCACCACGTCCCTCTGAACCCATTCTTGGACCTATCGTAATCGCTGCCTCAATATAACGACGTCGTGAAGATCATGAAGTTTAATTACTGCACCTTTTTTAACACGTTGTAAAAATGGGAGATAGTCATGACATAATGAAGTCATCATAATCATCAGGCCATCGTTTTAAGTGCTTACAGGATAAACGAAATATCGATGCAGAAGAAGAGGAACGACGAGAGCGTAAAACTCTTCGATGTACAGTGAAGACTACAATAGTGATCATTTCTTCATACTTGGCATGTAATAGTGTCAATTTCATCTTGTACTGCATAGAAATGTTCAACTCAAGCCTTACACAGGTATGCTTCGTTTCGCGTCCTGTGGTCAAGTGGCAAAATTCTGATTGACTTGTGAAAGCAGTGCGGCACTATCCCAACACGGTGACATTGTGATGGCAATGCATTTAAAACCACGTGAAACATGTGTTTTTTTTAAAACGGGACTAAACCTTAGGTGGGGAGTAGAGACTCCAGGGTGCATGAGCCATTTCATTTTTTCTGGAGCTCTCCTCCTCCTAGGCTCAGTCTTGGGGGATGCCCCGTATATTGCGATAGCGCCAGCAGTGCTACAATATGAGAGGACCTGAATTATGGTGCATAAAATATTCTTGCATTACCTGTTCCAGGATGATATGGGATACTTCGACGTGTTTTATGTGGTGGCCAGCGATTTGGGAACAAACCTATTTGTATTGTCGTCTACAATACGAATCTTCGTCTACTACAAGTATAATCCTACGATTCGTGACCAAATCCGAAGTGTCACCGTTGTTAAAGTTCTGCTTCCATGAAAAACATGATAGAAAAATAACACTGCCCTGGCTGTTTCATTATTGTTCTCTTCATGATTCGTGTACCCGGTGCAATGTCTTTTACGTCTTTTTTCAATGTTGCATTGTTTTGAAGCCTCACTTGCAATTAAATGCTTTACAGAAAGGGATCACGTTAATTCAAATGCACGTTTATTCAAATTCTACAGAGATACAATATTATCAGGCTAAGCTATACAATATTAAAATGGTTTCCCAAGTTAGGAACAACGGGCGATTTTTGTGCTGTTGCATATTTGAGAAGAAAGAAATTGGAAGTCTTAAAAATTCTCATACCTTGTCGTCTGAGAACGCAATTGGTGAAAAATATAAGTGTTCAAGTGAAGGGAGCGTGATTGCCTCAACGTTTCATGAAAAGGGGATTTGAAAAATTATAAAGAAAAAAAACTGGTGTCTTCTGAAGTGGAGTTAAGAATACGAACATATGTGCATACCTAGTTATGCAAAATGTTAGCGAAACTGAGCGTATGACGCAATTTTCCACTACTCGTTACCTCTTTCTATGTCGATGACACACCGTAGTGAGCACAAATATGTGTGAAACTCCAGTTTAGGTTGCACTTCATTATGTTCTATAGTAAGGATAAGAATAGAGGTTTTCATGACACGTAATCGATTCGTTTGAAGTTACTTTCAATTAAGGACTGGTGTAGTGTGAAAGTACTCTTGAACCTTTCAGATTTCGGCATGCTATGGTCCAAGGAAATGGTCCTGAACTAATGTATGGACATCCTTTCCTAGGTGCAGGGTGGACGATTACATGCCATAAATTGCCTAGGATGTGAGCAGGATGTGCATGGTGTAAGGCATACACCGGTTCCTTATCAAAAGTGCACTTGAAATGAGTCGTTATTATCTTATCCATTGGGTCCAAGTCCAAAGGAGTGCTCTCTAGTACTACGGATAAGATAACAGGGAGTGCCCCCCAGACTGTAATTTAACCATATATGTAAAATGACTCAAATAGCCGACTCCAGGTGGCAGTAATGGTAATTCTGAAAAAGAATGACGAGGGGAGGGGGCAGGTCGTAAAAATTCTTAACTCGGC